CCTTACGCCGGAGACTCTGCTTTGAAAATCTGCTTACTCCAACCTCCTAGGCCTTCACCTCGTTAATAGATATTGAATAAAAATAAAAATTACAATTATCTCGTAACAAGGACTCACAGAGACGTTCCTTCATGTTAGCCTTCTATCTATCTCTCTCATTAGCTATTTTAGTTATAAGACATTTATATGCCTTTACAATTGTAAAGGCATATGTACATGTATAATTATGTACTTGATATAATATTCCCACTGTTTCCACTGTAACCTGCACTTGCACATATAAAATATACTGCGTTCTGCTATTACCATTACCCGTAAAGACTATTCTATATTAAACAATCAAGTTACTAAGGTTTCAGATTAATAATACTTTTACAATCTCATTGTTTATTTAGACGAAAGTATATTCTTAATAACGACAAGATCTTGACATTATCCATTATAAAAGCTGGAATAATATAAATCATTTCATGAAGTGCATCCTTCCCCACCCACATATATATATGTATATGCATTTATTGAATTGTAACTGATTTTATTGTGTATGTGTAGACGTGTGCCATTGCATCGGCATACGCCTTAATTACCTCACTGTGTTACTTGCTATTGTACAATTCCATTAAAATCACCGATTTTCATGTACAACGAACATATGCCATTGCATCGGCATACAATTCTTCAATATTTTCTACTAAGCATTTTAATTTTATGCAGCATCCTTGTTTTATCGGCAGCCTTTTTCCTCTTATTCGAGCATTTTCTTGAAAGGAAGATATTAAGCATTCATAAATCTTTGTCCTTTTTATTCAGTTACTTAAATCAATTGGTGCCATAACATCTCTTGCCAGAGGAATTTATAGTTCATTAACCATTAAATCTGAATCTTACATTATTAAGCATAGATCTTGCTCACTTTTAGGGAAGCGCCTTACTGGAGCTACCCGCCTCTATCCTTGTCCAGACTGAGGAGCGCCTTACGAGTGCCTCCCGGCTCAAGCATCCTATCCATCCCGTCCAACTCATAAGACCACCCCTTCTCCATCAAGATCAGGAAATTTAATTTGTGAATTAATAACCTGTACAGTGCTTAGCATCCTTCAATCTCAGGGGCGCAGCTGACAGCCGCCACCCGCCTCAATTATCCTTCTCCTACAACCAGCATAACCTAACTGCCAAAGCATTGGTATTAAGCATTAATTAATAGTACTTTTATAGTACTCTGGCAACGGATAACTAAAGTCACAAGAGTCCTTTTCACTCAATAATTAATTTTATCAATTGCTATTTTAACCTGTCCGACCAAAAATGTTATTCTTAAACTCAATCCGTTAGATGCCAAATAAACATCGCGGGGGCGTTAAACAGAAGGCAAGGCAGCTACGTAAGGAAGCTTGCCGACGAGCGGCCCTGTTGTCTCAACACATGGACCCCACCAAACCCCGTATAATACAAGATATCACGGGGCACGATCTAGTTCCTCCATCGTACATCAAGTTTTTATTACAAAACAGACTCATAAGCACATTTAAATACGCTCCACGTCCATTACATTCCACACAAAGACACTTCATTCCGGATTCGCATTCTTTACCAAGCTCTTACAGGGCTCACACGCGCAACCCTCGGCTGGTTAAACAGCGTTCAACGACAGAAACTCTAGACATAGAATTGATAGATTTAACACAGGACGACACTTTCAACAACAAAACAGCCACCTACATTTACCAACTGGAGTCCTATTCTCTTACTGAAACTCCTCGCAAATTACCGTACCACCTTGATTACCTCCACCGGGCAGGATAACTGTACATTCTCTCAACACTTCATTGTAACTCATTACCAGCAGCTATATAATGTAAACCACATTTGTATTCATTAATTATATAACTATAAGTATTATCACTCATTTATATTACACTTTTAACTATCATATTGTCTCATTGTTAAATAAACAATTGTTTAGTCTCTATTCCTATCAATAGCCATAATCTTTATATCACCTACAATCACCATATTTCCCCCTTTCACCATCTGTCCGGAAAAGCTCTCGGCATCCCAGGCAGTGCCGGTGTAAGCAGGTAGGCCTAAATAAATAGAGAGCAGGCGGATCAGGCTCCCTAGGGAGACGCGAGACGTTACAAATTGCGCGGTAGGTGCGAAACTCGAGCTATTGTATCGTCAACTGTGACGGAGCAAACGAAAAAGTCGCAGGAGCGTTGTAACATCGTCTGTGATGACAAAAGATTGATCAACGATCAACGAACAAGAAATCTACGACTTCCTATGAGGAATCACGACTACTACTAAGAGGTAACAGAAGGTGCGAGTCTAACGATGGATTCGATGCAAACGTCTCGAGATAAATGCCGATATCGAAATGGTGACTGTGGTAAACTGGCGTGGTCGTCTCGTTTGCACATTTTTTCTATAATTTTTCTCCTCGGTATCGTAGCTTTGATTATGTATATGTTGATTGCGTATGGTAACACTGAAAATTTCGATCGCGACATGGAAAATACACACGACGGTGTCGCTATGAACGATACTCTCGTGCGCGCTCCTAATGCTGCTCGGAGTGAAATGAGCGACACTGACAGGGGCAAAAAACAAAGCAAGGAGTTGGAGGGTGCCCCTGCTTCGCGTCACAGTTTCGTGGCTACCGATTTGGACGAATGTGAAGGTGTGAGCAACCGTATGGATACAAACGCGCATGGCGACGAGAGCACAAATTCTGAAGCGGAGGATAGAAAGTTAATTCTAGTGCTGAGAAAAGCGCAGAGTGATGCGATAAGAATTGCGCCAATGAGAGTGGGAAGGCGATTGTAGATTTCAGCGGCAAAGTGTACGACAACATTGGCGATGTAAACAGCGATACTGTTCTGAATGCTGACATTCTGACACTCCACGCAGCAAATGTAAAGTTGGTTGAGGCCACAATGATGATGATAGAAATATTAGATAATGTTTTAGCCATAGCGAAGGCGTAATGAGCCAACTAGAATCATTTTGAACGTGTTTTACGGACGAGATGAGATACTTTTGTAGCACAATATAGTCAAAGTCGAATATGTTACTCCGCTCGTATTTCGATATCTCTTCACATAAAACGAGAGCGACAGACGTAATGAAAATATCGACGACCTAAACTTGATGATTGCGAAGAAGTAGCCGAAAATTACAGCGAAACACAAATAGGCGCATGTGTTCAGACAAAACTTGGCAAGACCAGAGACAGTTAATGCCAAAATTAAAGCATACGCGCGCCCCCCCCCCCCCGATCCCTTCGCACGAAACGACTTTTCCACCAACATCTCTTTTACATATACATGTACATGTTCCCTCTCTCACTCTGCGCCGAATCGGAACACTCGCATCTCCTCTATCATAGAACAGTCAAGAAGTACAATAGAGTCAGGGATTACTGCTCTGTACTCCGGTATTTGCGCTAACATATATAGAATGGACAATTTTTTGCGCTGTCGACCGGCTCGAATCGATAGAACAAAACGTGAGTGACCGCGATGCGAAAAATATATACCGGGACTGCCTACAATATGAGGCAGTTCTGAAGTCACGCTTTTCGTTATGGCCACGAGTGAATAAGTTGAGAGAGAGAGAGAGAGAGAAAGAGAGAGAGAGAGAGAGAATATGCGCAACATGTCTTTGCAAGTTACGAATGAGTGTAAAAAGGGGCCTAAGGAGGTTCATCGTTGGCGATATCAGCATGCTATACGTGCACGTCGTCTCGTCCCAGGACGATGCCATCGAATCGAATACGAACAGCAATCCATCGAGAAACCACTGCGTGAGTTGCGAATCGTGTATGCGATAGGACGTGATTTCGACAGAGAACTGTTGATGCGTTCGTTATTCGTGGAAGAGACATTGCGCTATCGCGATAGGCAGTATTCAGACCAAGTTGGACAACTGTCTCACAAATGCGCGGATCCTGCTAGCCAGTGTCTGGGAGGAACCGAATGCCTAATTGGCACGTTGTCCACCGGAATCGATCACGAATACGTTCTCCAATGCGTCTCCTTGTACTTTTCATATTTTTATGACATCGAAAAAGTCTCGCGTGTCGGACGTGGCGTTACGTCGCACAGGTTACTCGTCAACGGAATATCGAAATGCGCGACTGTTCGGCGCTTGGTTAGATGCGAATACGCGAAAACTTTATATCGTGTGCGATCCGACCGATGTGGAGCGTGGCGTTCTGTTGGCCGAAGGTATCCGAGACGATCGAATAGCTGTAAATGATGAACCTGCAAAGTCGCTACATGATCGATCATCGTATTGGAATGATAATCTATATTCGTCGCAATGTGATCGACGAGTGGCATCGATTATGGCTTTCATTATGAGTATCGAACGCTTGATTCATGATGATCTGAAGCATGCGTCAAACGAACGAACACTCGCTGAAATGATATTCGCCGATGAAAAGGAATTGCGCGGTAGGTGCAAAACTCGAGCTATTGTATCGTCAACTGTGACGGAGCAAACGAAAAATCGCAGAAACGTTGTAACGTCGTCTTTGGTGACAAGAGATTTATCAACGAAAGAAATCTACGACTTCCTGTGAGGAGTCGCGATTACTAAGGTCAGATGGTGTTTGTGTACAGCAGAAGGTGCAAGTCGAACAATGGATTCTATGCAAACGTCTCGAGATGAACGGGGCCATCTAAATGGCGATCGTGGTCAACTGGTGTGGTCGTCTCGTTTAACCATTCTTTCTATAATTTTGCTTCTCGTCGTAGCTTTGATTGTGCATATGTGGATTACGCATGATAACTCGGTTCACGATCAAATTCGTACGTACGTAAGCAACTGTCTAACATGACGTCTCACGTTTCGTAAATTGGGTACGTTTTTGGAAGGACTGTGAATACGCGCGGCATTATGAGAACGCTGAAAATTCCGGTCGCAACACGAAAAATGCGCACGACAGTATCGCTCCGAATGAGCAAGGTGGTGTAAGCAATTGTACTGATACTAATATGCATAGTGGTGCAACAGACAGCATGAACAACGAAAACGATGAAATTTCTCGCGCGAGCGCAGATTTCAACGGCGACAAGAGCTATGTAAACAACGAAACTACTCGTTTTGACGCGAGTGCAGATTTCAGCGGAAACAAGAGCGAAGATTTCAGCGGCGACAAGAGCGCAGATCTCAATGATGACAAGGGAACAGATTTCAACGGCGACATGAGCACAGATCTCAGCGGCGACGAGAGCTACGTAAGTGACGAAACTTCCCGCATGGACGCGAGCGTAGATTTCAACGGTGACAAGAGCCGTGTAAACAACGAAATTTCCCGCATGGACGCGAGCGTAGGTTTCAGCGGCGACAAGAGCGAAGATTTCAACGGTGACAAGAGCCGTGTAAACAACGAAACTTCCCGCATGGACGCGAGCGTAGATTTCAACGGCGACAAGAGCGAAGATTTCAACGGCGACAAGAGCCGTGTAAACAACGAAACTTCCCGCATGAACGCGAGCGTAGATTTCAGCGGCGACAAGAGCGAAGATTTCAACGGCGACAAGAGCCATGTAACCGACGAAACTGCTCGCATTGACGCGAGTGCAGATTTCAGCGGAGACAAGAGCGAAGATTTCAGCGGCGATAAGAGCTATGTAAACGACGAAACTGCTCGCATTGACGCGAGTGCAGATTTCAGCGGAAACAAGAGTGAAGATTTCAGCGGCGATAAGAGCTATGTAAGCGACGAAACTGCTCGCATTGACGCAAATGCGGATTTCAGTGGAGACAAGAGCGAAGATTTCAGCGGCAATAAAAGCGAAGATTTCAGCGGCGACAAAAGCCATGTAAACGACGAAACCGCTCGCATTGACGCGAGTGCAGATTTCAGCGGAGACAAGAGCGAAGATTTCAGCGGCGACAAGAGCTATGTAAACGACAAAACTGCTCACATTGACGCGAGTGCAGATTTCAGCGGAGACAAGAGCGAAGATTTCAGCGGCGGCAAGAGCTATGTAAACGACGAAACTGCTCGCATTGACGCGAGTGCAGATTTCAACGGAGACAAGAGCGAAGATTTCAGCGGCGGCAAGAGTGCAGATTTCAACAGCGACATGAGCACAGATCTCGGCGACGATAAGAGCTATATAAATAACGAAACTCCTCGCATTGATACAAGCGCAGATTTCAGCGGCAGCAAGAGCACAGATCTCAATGGCGACATGAGCGCAGATCTCAGCGACGACAAGGGCTATGTAAATAACGAAACTCCTCGCATTGATGCAAGCGCAGTTTTCAGCAGCGGCAAGAGCGCAGATTTGCGTGATAGTGATAAAGTTTCGGACGATATCGTTTCGGAAATTCTTCCAATTGTAAATGCCGATTCATTAAGCAGAAATGTAGAAGGTGGACGACGCAGGAGATCACGACCAGGCACATCGTCGTCTGGATTGAATAGTGTTAAGAGAAAACGTAGAGATATCAAAAGTAATCGTTTTATTGGTTAACGTGGTACATTGGATTCTTATTTATTTTTATTCGAGACGTATAACATAGCAAAGAACCTTTCGTTGTCCAGCTCGTTCGATTACATCAGGCGAAGCATTAGGTAGCTGCGATATCACGCTTACATCACAGCCCAATGAAACTCGATGATTGCAAAGAACTGAGCGTGCGACGCTGTTCAAAAAGCGTCCAATAATTTCGGCCTCCTATTCGCAAGGAGAAAATAATCATAAGCGTTGCCTGTCCAATATAGTTTGTCTAGTATAATTGTACAGTATGGCCAAGTTAGTGGCCGCTAGTAGCAGTGATAACGTAAGTTCCATTTTTTTCTTAATTTACAGCGTACCTGTAATCTGTAATAACAAGGTGTACAATAAAATACGATTGAAAAAAAAAACCGCAATTAAATTCTTACCGAGCAACTCAATGCGATGGTGAGTTCACGATGTAGTCAATCTGTCAAATCGACGCTATCGTATAGAACAGTAGACTCAACCGTAGAACTGTGCTTCAGATATCATTTACGATCAGGATAATTGTCGTCCGGCAGTACACCATTGATGCGTGCGTAATTGATAGACATCATTGACGGGTAGCCGGAACGCATGGTTCATTTGTAACTTGGCTTGTCTCGACGTATCTCTCTGAACGTGGCGAACGATAAAACAATTAATTAAGCGCTGATAAATGATCGAGAAACACTGTGTTAAATCGAAAAATGTTTCAGACAAAAGTTGCATGATTTAAAGGAACACATAGGACAGTGATATCGTTTTGTATATAGATGGCGCCACTTTTAAGATATTTACTGATTGTTACTTATCTTCAATGGAAATCTCAATTTTTTATTATATTATCTTATTTTATCACTTAATTTGAGCAACTTCCATTCGAAACATTTTTTATTTGCCTAATATTTTGTTAAATATTTAAGGAAAACTCTTTCATCATTTAACTTATGATATATCGCTAACTATTTGTCAGAAGAAAAAGTGGTATTAAACTTTTTTATTCCATTTGGTCCCTAGAATATATTGCTACAATACCATAATTTTTTATTAATTGTCGACCTTTGAAAATTTCTATATCGTCAAATTAACAAAAAAATTAAGGCACTATTCTAGCAATATATTCTAGAGATTAAATAGAATAAAAAAGTCTAATATCACTTTTTCTTCCGACAAATAGTTAGCAAGATATTATAAGTTAAATATTGAAAAGTTTTTCTTAAATATCTAAAAAAATATTAGGCAAATAGAAAAATGTTTCAGACGAAAGTTGTTAAAATTTGTTCGTAGAAAAAGACGACATAATAAAAAATTGGAATTTCCAATTAGAAAAATAATGATCAGTGAATATCTCGAAAGTGACGTCATCTGTAAACAAAATGATATATATTTTACATGTCTCCTTCGAAATTGTACAACTTTTGTCTGAAACATTTTTTTCTAAAATGTCGCGTTTACAAAAAACGTGGAAGAATGATGCGGATGGCAGCGTAGGCCGGCCATTTATATGGGGGCACAGGGCGACCATTTATACGGCAATGTGAAGCTGAAGAAGTTATCAAGTTTTCCTTAAATATCTAAAAAAATATTAGGCAATTAGAAAAATGTTTCAGACGAAAGTTGTTAAAATTTGTTCGTAGAAAAAGACGACATAATAAAAAATTGGAATTTCCATTTAGAAAAATAATGATCAGTGAATATCTCGAAAGTGACGTCATCTGTAAACAAAATGATATATATTTTACATATCCCCTTTGAAATTGTATAACTTTTGTCTGAAAAATTTTTTCTAAAATGTCGCGTTTACAAAAAAAATGTGGAAGAGTAATGCGGATGGCAGCGTAGGCCGGCCATTTATACGGGAGCGCAGGGCGGCCGTTTATACGGGAGCGTGAAGCTGAAGAAGTTATTAAGTTTTCCTTAAATATCTAAAAAAATATTAGGCAAATAGAAAAATGTTTCGAACGAAAGTTGTTAAAATTTATTCGTAGAAAAAGGTGACATAATAAAAAAATTGGAATTTCCATTTAAAAAAATAATGATCAGTGAATATCTCGAAAGTGACGTCGTCTGTAAACAAAATGATATATTTTTTACATGTCCCCTTTGAAATTGTACAACTTTTGTCTGAAACATTTTTTCCTAAAATGTCGCGTTTACAAAAAAAACGTGGAAAGAGGCTGCGAATAGTAGCGTAGGCCGGACATTTATACGGGAGCGCGGGACGGCCATTTATACGGGAGCGTGAAGCTGAAGAAGTTATTAAGTTTTCCTTAAATATCTAAAAAAATATTAGGCAAATAGAAAAATGTTTCAAACGAAAGTTGTTAAAATTTGTTCGTAGAAAAAGATGACACAATAAAAAATTGGGATTTCCATTTAAAGAAATAATCAGTGAACATCTCGAAAGTAGCGTCATCTGTAAACAAAATGATATATTTTTTATATGTCCTCTTTGAAATTATACAACTTTTGTCTGAAACATTTTTTCCTAAAATGTCGCGTTTACAAAAAAATCAAGTGGTACTGGTGGTCTGTGACGTATATTTACAGCACATCTTGCATAAAAAGAGAACACCTTCAACTATTAAATCGAAAATAATTCTATCAAATCGGAAATCTAAACTGTCTCCAGCTAATGTAGTTAATACACGAGTTTGCAATAGCTTCAAAGTTTACATAAAGGCTTCCCGGGCCATTCGATTATCGGATGATAGATGTTCGGAGTATAAAACACGTTCCCCGGATTTTAGACGAAAACTAACGATTGCGTTATGTTCAGCAGGTCAAAATCCTCTGGGAATGATACGTTTTGTCCGTTTTCCACGATAAGCCGAGACCGACCCAATTTACCCATTCTTTTCACAAGTTCTTTTCAAAGATTGATATTTTAACAAAGATTAGGGTACTATTGTAGCAATAAGAATGTTTTCTGTTTCTGAAAATATATTAGTTAGCTTGAAATAACTTATTACAAGCCGACCGCAATGTTTTTGCAAATTTACTATATTTCTTTTATGAATTTTTATCGTTTGTCATTTTGCAATAATTTTAAATGTATCAACATGCTCCATGTATCAACCATCCTCGGTTTCTTCTACCTTTTCCGCCCGGCGCCAGGCAATTGATTCTACGTGCGCAAGTGCATACGTCCCATTTCTGGAACGTTGTTGATGATGTTGCAACCTGAAAAAAAGAAGCGAGGGGGGCGGGGGGGGAAGAAATAAAGGTATTCGTTATAAAATATTTATTGTGGTTTATTTTTTTACAATTGTGCAGCGAGTACGTATTACATGTCAAATATGCGGCGTCAAATATGAATTACAAATTTAGAAAAAGAATGTGTTGCACTCGCTCATCCTCGAAACATTACATTCATGCTTTGCAACCGCGTTCGCGAAAGTAGATCCGTTGTAATTTGAAAACTCAAAATTTATAGCGATCCGTATGTTACGTTTTCGATTTAAATACGATTTTCGCGGTGCCTGTCGAGTTTCTTCACCTTCTAATTCGTGTGTAGCATTTGTTACTTGATAAAAATCTTTTAGGTTAGAATTAAACAATGATACAATGTGCTCACTGTTCATATCGCAATTCGACGTTTCTGGAGCAGTAAACGTGTCACATCCCTGAAACGATTTTTCTTGTTGCTGCTGTTCCACAAGCGCCGCCACTTTCCGCTTTGAAGAAGGGAGTGTCTTGTACAATATTTTCTTTATTGTCTTTTCATTATGCCTAGCGTATATTGTACCGCACCGCACTGGATGACGATCGGGCGACCTGAACGTTACGTTGTAAAATAAAGAGCCGTCAGATTTACGCGCTAGGCTAAGTATTCCTAGGTTTGCCGAAAAACTAGGTGTGACAAGTACGCAGAAACCGTCATTGCGAACACAAAGTACAGTATATTTTCGACTCGCATAAAACGGCTGGTCGCGCAACATTTTGATCGGCTTTACGGTCCAATAACAAATGTTGAAATGTAGCGTTTGGACAATTTTTTGAATCATCGCAACAGCGTCTACGGACAAACGATTTGGTTTTTTTAACAACGCGGCAGTGCGAGTTATTCCGCATGACACAATCGTGAAGGCAAATGGCAATTCATCTAATATGCTTTGCGATGATTCTTTTATAGTTTCTTGCAATAATGACGACCATTTGTCCTTCGTTCGCTTTGAGCGCCTGATTCGTATATAATCGATTGTTTGCGAGTCTTTATTGTACCACGATATGCTAGGTTCTCTATTGTATATATTAACAATACCTTCGGATAAAAATTCATAAGTTATAAGTTTAGGCGATTGCATCTCGATACCTGCAGAATTTGATACGTCAAAGCCGACTCTATTGATTAAACACCAGGGCACAACGTGATTAAATTGGCACAATAGATTCTCTAGAAGTTCTTCACAATGTTCCCGATTAGACGATGTAGAGATCGCACTTACTTGCTGCAACGTATCCTCGTCGCATGCGCGTCGACATTTGTCTAGGTGTGCTTCGATGTAAGCCTCGGACTCTGCATTCGGACACTTGACGATCACTGCTTCACTCAACATTCCCCAAGAACGAGCGTTGTTTTGCGATGAGACGATAGCCATATCTTCTGCGGGTCCGTTGAGAAAAAGGTCACTTGCTTCCGCCACTTGTGGAATGTCTATAATATTTTTCACACTGAACTCACGTTCGAAATTTTCATTGGATGTAATATCTAATTGCTTCATCCAACTTGTCGTACTGATGTCCAAATTAACGTAGTTCATATTATCGCACACTTGCGGAAGTTGTGCCGATTGCAGCTGCAATGACGGATACGGGTACTCTGGTACAGATGTTGTTGAGTGCAGCACTTGCACTGGTCGTCCTTGTGGAGGCGGTGTTCCGTACGTAAAATTAGGCGACGCGAACTGTTCGACTGACAATGATACCTCGGTTAACGATGAAAATGACGCCAATGGTATTTCAGCTTCTTTATTCTGCGAAGCGATCCG